CTCCCCACTCAGTTTTACCCCTCTGTTTTTATGTCCTGTGACAGCCACATAGGTGACAGTTTTATTGTTTGTTTCTGCTTTATTCCTTCTATTTATCTTTTGCTGTTATTGGATATAGCTTGAAATAAGATATGTTGTCCTGTGCAGCTATCTGACACCAGTTCAATAACACATGCACACACATACACACAAAGGTTAGATGCTGTCTAAAGTTAAGCTGCCCGCTCAGCCCTGCACATGAGGGAAGATGGCAGGTTTATGATCGCAGTAGAACCCTAAAAGCCTGCAACAAATCTTCCCTTTCTCAACATCAAATGGGGTTGAGACTCCTCCAGCAGAAGGCTTACTATCTAAACCATCCAAAGCCCACCACAACTTCTATTTTCCATTACCTTATTCCTTCCACCACTTATCCATACGCTATTTTCTTGCTGTCACGAATGCTGGATGGCTTCCTGGTGAATCAAAGTTGAAAACCAACCCGGAGTTCCCAGCAAAAGCCCCAGCCCATTAAGCTAGAAAGGAGTGGATGGCTTAGAAAATTACAGGCCTTTACTGAACCTACTCTTGGCTGTCAGTGTCAGCCGCACTATTATAACTTGAAGCCATACAGAACAGCAATAGCCTGTGTCAATTTATGGGTGAATGTACCTGTTGGTGGCTTCATCTTTAGGGAAGAAGTCTACTGCACACTTATGCTGCAAACTGCCACTTGAAATAAAAAAATCCTGACAAATCAAATGCTCAGATGCTAAAAAATGTAAAAACAAAACAACTATAGATAACGACTCTATAATGTATATTGTGATCACTATTTAGTTTCCAACAAATTTAGATACCTGCAATAATTAACTAATTTGTCTGAACCTTCTCTTTCCTTGTTAACTTGTTCCATTCTTAATGTCGAGAAATTCACATTTACTGTAGTTAATGGCTTTAAAATGTAATTACCATCTGCATTAATTGAATGTGGCGAACATGAATGCATGCTCTAAGACAACTACATGAATTAATGTTGTGTGGAGAAGCCGCTGAGCACCAGTTAGCATTAATTTCAGACGTTGCTGAGATCACTGACACTTATCCGACCCCTCCAGATGAAGTGCAGTCTGCAAACCCTCAGACTACAAAAAGCGTGCATTTGCAAATTTGCTATTTAAAAATGGAGGAGTCAACACCACAAAAACAAGTGTAATGAGTATTGCTAATCTGAAATAGATCATCAACCATTATTTCTGCGTGCAAAATGTTCTCAAGGCAGGGAGAGAAATGAGCTCCGTCTTGTACTGTATCTAGGCCGACTCTGATTAATTAGCCATGTTGTGCTGTTGTGTTGTGGCATTTTGAGGGAGAGGGAGAGGGAAGGTAGAAAAAAAAAAAACAAAGGATGAAAATAGAGAGGTAATTAATCAGCTATGCTGTGAAAGAGCAGCAAACATGACCAGCTGAGGTGGGGGCAGAGCAAACAATCGGTCAGTGCACCGATGGAAATACTACATGTACACTTCATTAGTATGACACATGACAACATTATATCAAAGAATAGTTTCACATTTTTCAAGTCTGTCTTAAAACAATACTTAAATGCCTGTATTTGCATTCAAATTGTTAATGGTCAGTGTAATCATTCCTCTTGTCCACACTGGGCAAAAAGAGATTGTGGTGTTATTGTAAGTGAACCTCGTCTGTGCAAAAATGCATTTAAAGTTTAACAAAAATGATAAATCAGATGGGGATTCTCCAGAGTTACACTCTATTTGGTAAGAAATTCCTTCTTTGTGCTTTTAGGACAAGCCTTGCTGAGCTGTAGCAGAAGGGCAGGAAGTGAAAATTTGAAACCAAAATGACCGATGCAGCTGAGTTTAGAAGTTATTTTTGCACAGATCGTGGACTCAGGTGGAGTTTGTTTTCTTATCAACTTACACTGAAATTGCTTTTAACATAGAAGGGATCTCTTTGAGGCCAGTGGCCAATTACTCTTTCAGTTTTTTTTTTTGATTTTGGGTTTGAGAGTTTAAAAAAAAATGTGAACCAATTGTTAAATGCAAAATATGGGTTAGGAATGGCAGTGCACCATGCCAAACTACATATTTTTTTCATTTTTTGTACACTATTTTCTATTTTCTACCTACTTCACATACTCAACCGTACTGGATTGAAATATTTTACTCATACAATACATTATCAGCATGTTGAAGAACAAATTCTGCTATGAATTGAAGCTCTTCAGGGTGCCTGAAAAACATGCAAGGCCTTTGACCATAAGCGGATGTACACTCATATAGCAGCCACGAGTGATGAGTCAGCGCAGGCTTAGCTGAGGGACCGTTACATTTCTGTGAAGAGATTTTCCACCAACAGTGAGAGCTGCTGTTCGACTCAAAGCCTAAATTGGAACAGAATTAGGTCAATATTTTCTAAAAGCTGTAGTATTTCTTTGAACAATAACTTGAACTGAATAGACAAGGTGTGTGTGAGTTATGATTTATACTGTGTTCCAGTTTTCACAGGAATACTGTAGGATATACAGTAGGTTATACTTAACTTGTATAACTTTTCACATGAAGCTCAGTTTTCAGCTTCACATTTCTTAAGAAAAACTTTGTAGGTCTTGTTTGAACTTAAGAGTGGCCTCCACACAACAAAGCTAAAAGACGGCAGTGATGACATTTTCCCTTTACAATTTATTCACAGAACTTTTAACAAAAGAGGATGTATCTCCCAAATGTCAACTTTCTGAACTAGACTCTTGTTTCAAACTGAGTGACAATGTATTTTCGGAATAATCAAGCAAGTTTTAAATAATTGAGGAGCAGTGCTGAACACAGAATTAATTAACATTTACTCAGGTACTGTACTTTACAGTAAGTACAAGGTTTGTACTTTACTTGACGGTTCTTTGTTCATATTGCATGAATTCTATGTTTTATTCCATTTCAGCTTATTTCTATCTTCTATTTTATTTTCATTCTTTTAAAATCCTATTTCCGTATCTTTTTAGCATCATCTTTTGTTTTTTTGTTATCATAAAGCCCTAATTGCTTTGCTAATGAAAAGTGCTATACACATTAACTTGTCTTGCCTTCAGTATATCCATTTTATGGTACTTAATGCTTCTACTTCCTTGTGATTTTTCATACAAAACTCAGCTCCACCTTGACCAGCTCCACCATTAAAATGCTGCTCACATAATACATATGATAATGTGATGCTCAAAAAAGGCCATTCTGCACAATAAGTACTTTTACTTTTAATAATATAGGTGCATTTTTTGCTGATAACACTTCTGTACTTTCAATTAAGTAAAATTTAGAATTTTGTAATAGAGTAATTTTATATTGGGCTATCCCTTATTTTTTAATTGTAAAGGAGCTGTTTTTAATTGGTAAAAAGTTACACAAAGGCTTGTAGTTGCTGCTAATGCAATTCCTACTTGTTGCCAAAAGGGGTCGATAGAGGTCATTGGTTACTTAATGTCTCTTTAATAGTTAGATGAGGGTCATTACCTGTTAGTTTTGATTACCGGAGTTGGCAGAACACAGGTGAGCCTCCATCCATATGTAGCCAGGGACTGAAGCAGGGGAACATAATCTGCCTTCACCTGCAAACCCTGTGGAAAGAACACAATGTCCATTACAAGCCAAACAACCCTAAACTTGTGCATAATTCCCATCCTTCTCTCCTTAAACACCATGTGCACAGCACAACAGTGTGCATGCATATTATGTAGCAAAGTGCATTTGCTACTGTGATTACAGCTGCAAAGCACCGAGGTATGAGATGCAAGTGCTGTCAGCATCGCAGAGAAACTCAAACCTCAGTTAAAACCTTCTCTCTCAGATATAATGGCTTTAATACAATATATGTGTGCTGTCTTAGAGGTTGTTTGTCAAAAGCAATGTACACAGGGAAGAATAAAAATGGAGACATAAATCAAGTGCTACAGAAACTCCCTGGTTGCCAGGAGTCAACGTGGCAACCATCTCTATTTGTGACAAGTGTGTGTCAGCACAGTAAGTCTTTGAGCAAATAGACTGCTCATGTGAAACTGCTCACTTGTGGTAAACATTTTAATGCTGTTTGTGCTTTTAAAGTACCATCAAACGAGCCATAGTTGCTTTCTCTCAATGGCAGATTTAAATCAAGATTGGACGAAACATGAAAATGTAAATGCTTATTTCGACTTGAGTGGAAAAAACACTTCTTTGTTATTCAACTGAAATACACACAGATTACCTAATGTACTTTCAGAACACACACACATGCTGTTAGGAAAGGAAGTGTGTGTGGTTTGCCATTCTTGTCATGTTAGACACCTGCCGAAAATGAAAAACCGCAACGCGTGTCAATCAGATTGTTAATTTCTACAACAATTTATGCATTTGCACACACGCACACAGACACACCCATACCCACAGAGCTGCCAGTTGTTAACTGACCTCAAGGAACTGCTCCATATTCTCCAAAAGGAGGCCTAAAGTTATGGACTATGCAAAATCAAAATCATTTGAAGAGTAAAATAAAAGTCTCAGCATTCAGGCCGTTAACTTTTTTACATAAATTCCAGACCGTTACACTCAGGGGTGCAGTATGAGTACTGATATGAGTGAAGAAGGCAGTGAACATGAACGAAGTACACCTCAGAACTTCGCAGAGTCTATTCATAGTGCACTGATCAACTGTATAAGAACAGAGACTTGAGAATACATCACACCTACACATGCCACATTAGCCTTCACTGTACTGTGAGGTGTGAAAGTCTTCTCTAATTAAAGCTGCTCCCTGCAAGGTTTTCACGTGGATGTACGGCTTCTATCACAGAGAGCCAGATTAACACACATGAGCATGTTGTGTGCAGGTTACTGATGACATTGTCGTTCACATTTTTGAAACAGATACCTCATGTTCCTGTTTTGGAGCTTCCAGCATTGCATTAGTGACAATGTAAGTTACTGTTAAACCTTTATTGTGGTAGCCACGCTGTTAATTGGCAATATTCTCTGGTTTTCTGCTCTTTAAACACCAATTTCTTCACTGTAAAAAGCTTCTTCATTTTTATCTATATTAATCATATTTTTACACTATCGATATGTTTGGAAATAACACAAAAAGAGGTCAGTTTGATTAAATCAAAGGCTCATGTGAATAATGACACATTTTGGAGGAGGAAGGTACATTATTGTGAGATAAACTATTGTTAAAGTAACATGTTTTTAAGTGGCATACTAGTAATACTAGAACAGCAACGACAACTACAACTACACAAGCTACTACTATTGGTACTACTAAACCACTATCACAACAACATCTTCTGCAGCAAAGACAGCAACACTAAGTACTACCACTAATACTATACTAATACTGATACTACAAGTACAATTGCTTCCACTACCACTTCCATAATGAATACATGTTTATTTACTTTATATTATGGTCAACATTTGTTGTATTAATTTATAAAACATATAAATCTGCTTGCCACTATTATTATAACTAATAATACTGCTGCTTCTACTGTTACCACTTCTATTTTTTTTACTGCTGTACTACCCCTAACTCTATCAAAACAATCTCCATTCACAGTGACTATTAATTAATTATAATTCTACAAATAGGCAGCAGTAGTATAATTACAATAACGACCACTACCACTACTACCAGACTATTACAGCAACTAAAGTGGTACTGCATCTACTGCTATCCCTCCAACTGTAACTACTTGTTCTATTGTCGTTACAAGTGTGACTACTACTATGACTACAATACTTTCCTACGAATATTACCTCTCCTCTTGTGCAGCAGGGTCTAGTGGGTAGTTAGTCATACAGAGAGAGAGCATAAAGAGTGAGAGCATTTCTGAGAAAAAGAGAGAGACTGATCAGCATGCAATGCTCATTTTCTGCCATGTGACAGACTTTAAGTCAAAACACTTAAACCCACTCCACTGCACAACGCCTCATTTCTCTTCTACAGATTCTTATTGACCAGGATGACAGGACATGCACAAACAAACCTTAAGCAGTCACATATCAAGTTGTAGGTTGCAAAGAGCTAATCGTTAGAATACAAGACGCCGCTCCAGACATTATTTACACAAGCATTACTTTCTAAGTTCCTACAGGGAGCGGCACATCTACATTTTTCGGGGGTTTGTGTTGGACCCACTCCCAGAAACAGGCTTACTTTTAGAGCTTGCCCGGAAAGTAAATTGAGAAATAATTTTTCTGTAATGGCTTGCTGTTCTTTGGAGTAGGTGAGAGTTAATCACAGTCCCTGGAGTCTAGCTCCTCTCTCTTCCTGACTTATTATGCAGGGCCACCTCGCTGCATCAGCAGTCCAGCACCAACCTGTGAGTCTAAAAAACAAAGTAATCACACCGCCATCTTTGTCTTCGATGTTATCTGACTGACTATAAAGGAGGACCACACGGTAAGAGGAGAGTGGGGCTGTAGTTTAACCGCCTCGGTCAAAGCTACTTTAAATTAAATCCAGCTTTTTTTCCCTGACATCATCTCTTCACACAGTGGAACACATTTGCACCTTAGAGCGACATGGTTAAACTATCTTGCTAAAGGGCATCTCAGCAGGAAGAGGAGAATATGTCAGACACTTTCACTGTCACAGTTTTCCCAGCTGATGACGATAGCTAAGACAATAACTGCCAAGGCAATAACCCACATCTAATCTTAAAGTTGTTAATGCTAAACCTCCCCTCATGTTCAGAGAAGGCATGGAGATTATCCAGTGTTTAGGGAACGTGGACCTAGAACAAAGTTTCTTTTCAGGCCAAGGGCAGAGAGGGGTGCGGCTGCAGGTCAATTTGAAGTTCAAAGGGCACTCTGATAGTCAGCCCAACAGAAACACCAGTATATTGTTTTTCTTTTAACCCCCTCTACCGACTCTGCAAGGTAGACAAAACAAACCATAATTCTGTTTTTCAGCAGCCCTGAATATAGCTGTAATTTTGCAGACTACTAGGGTCAACAGGTTTGCAGACACAGTCCTGTAATGATGAAGCAAATACCTTTAAAAAACAGCATTCAGGTACTGTCCCTGATTGGCTCGCTCAGCCTGGAGCGTTGTCACAGCAACAGAAAATTCAGCATCCACTATGTTTTTAAGCACTGCAATAACCTTCTCTAAGTCTGATTGGCCCATTCAAAGGCATTTAAAAGAAAGATTTAATCATTGTGATATCTGTTTTCACATATTTACATCAGTTCTTTGTTTAGATAATATATTGGCTTATTGGGCAGAAGTTATCAATGCCTCTGTGAACTCATCTGATTTGTGCTCGAGCTAATATGGTGGTTCAGCTTTATTGTTGGAGCCTTGCTGATTAAGATGCTGGGTGGCTGTTCCAAAACATATCACTAACATGACAAAACAAGCTCACCACAAGATATATTTAGTAGCTTAGCTTTCCATCCTGTTACACAATCAGCAGATGACTTTTATCCAATTGTATGTAGATGTTCAAATTTACAATATACTTATTGTCCATATTGGCTTAAAAGGTAATTCCTGATCTTGGAAACAGTAGTTGTAGGTGCATTTCATAGCTTTAAGGAGCTTTTGATTGTTTTACAGGATTTAAAAATATCATTAGCTGCATAGGGTATTCAACTAGGCCCTCCTTAAGCACACAAACGCACCATCTAAGGACATTTTTCCTGCCCTAAATTGCATTGCTGAAACAATAGTATCAACAGTAAGACATCCAAAGTGCATCCAAACTTTAGACTTTTATGAGGCATTAGCCCACCTTTGAGTCAAGACTAAACTATGCAGCCTGGTAGCATGTGACGAGGTAGTTTGGAAAACAAAGGATCAGTCAGCCAGGAGTTGTTACTGTGCTGTCGGTGAAAGCTTTTATCATGTACTTTTGCAGGGAGTATAAAAATATTAGTATTTGATGATTGAAACTGATGATTCAAATGGGGGTTGTGAGACAGGTCATCAGACAAATCATCATCTTAAAAGCAGCAGCCCTAATTATTTTATATGAAAGAAAGAGAGGGCCCTGAGCCCAATTCTGACAGGAGAGCTCAGAGTTCCTTACTCTCTTCATTGCTTTGTTAAATTAGCCTGCCGGCTATAGTTAGCTAAAAAACAGATGTTTTTTAGGTTAACTTAGCTGACTCTTTTAACCACAACCTACTTTGGAGAAGAGAGGAACAACGGATGAAGACAAGCCAGTTTCTGTGTCATGTTAACCTCAATTTGGACTCAGATCTGCCCCCTTAAACAGTTCGCTTTAGCTCGTGACTTTCAGCCACACCACACTGGTTCTTCTCTGACATCCCTTCAGCCTGGTACCTATACACTGAGGACCTCTGTGATATAGTCACTATGCATTGGTGGAAGAGGTACTCATATAGTTTACGTTTAAGTAAAAGTACCACTATAGCAATCTAATAATACTTCATTATAAATTATCCAAAGCAAAAATACTCTAATAATAATGATATCTTTATGCATGACATTATAAGATGATAAGGAAAAATGTACTGTTGTAGCTTGAGGTGGAGCCAGATTTAATTACTTTATATTCAGGTAAGTCTACTGGTTCCCAACTTAGTAGTCAGGCCCCCTCCAAAGGATCACAAT